TTAACACTTTATAGGGTCGTCTTTATAAAGGTCGTTCTGAGTAGACAAAACTTTTGTATGGAGACCATGTTCACAGCTCAACAGTTTCGGAGTTTCAGGGGATTAAAGTGAATTTCGAGTGATTTTTTACTTTTTGAAATTTTAAGTACACCGCGGCTATGTAAGACAGGTACATTAACAAATATGATTTGAAAACTCAGAGTAAGGGCTTTGGTATAAAATCAATAGCATATAGATGTTTTTTTTCCTAATAAATAATAAGACAATTCTTAACCGTTTGAGTGCGGCACAAATTTTGTGGATATATGCCAAAAATGCGGTAGTACTTGGGTATATATAAAAAAAAATTCACAAACGTAGTTAAATAATTAGATCATAAATATTGTATTTTTAAATAAAAAACATAAGAAATAGGGTTTATACATTTACATTGTCTTTGATTTACTTCTTTGAAAACAATAAGAAAATTGAAATTTACAAATTTTCCTTGCAAGAATGGTTTGCTGCACAAAGCGCATGAAGCCCTCTTTTCGAGCTGTAGAGCGGCGACTGTATAAATAATGGTTGTACGATAAAAAAAAAACAAAAAAAATGTTATATTGTACGAAAAAACTGTACATACCGCTAATGTAACCAAAATGATACAATAAATAGGAGCGCTATCACTGCAATTTTGGCATAAAGCAAATGGAGCGCTATCGCGCTTTCCGCAGTTTTGGCATATAACAACAGGAGCGGTTTCGCGCTCCTCCCCACTCAAACGGTTAAAATAAGAAAAGTTCTTAAAAATAATAACAAAAACGTACATAATTAAACAAATAATTTTTTTGAGATCTAATATTTTTTGAGTAATTTATTTTACTATATTTGTAAAAATAACAATAGTAAAAATATTTTACTATATTTTTACTATTGCTTTGAGTTATGTTGCATAAAATCGTATATTACCTTTGGCAATAAGCAATTTGAGCGATCAATTACTGTATACGCATGAAATAATTCGCTACTAAAATCCATGCACGTACATATGTATTTGGATTTTATAATACATGCGAAAAATGCTATTTGCCAGATGAACTTTTTTTTTATTGACAATTTTATTTTTTTAAAATGAAATTAAAAAAGCTTTACCCTTAAAAATCAATATCAGGTAGTTTCCATTCTAAATAGTTTTTTGAAAATACCCTATTTGTAAAAAGTTTAATACAATAGAATAACACTTTCTTATCTTATTAAATTTTATCCTAAAAATATATTGTGAAGAAATTTAATGTACACTTCTATTTTGCTTACTAATACATTTTACAGCATATTGGGAAAAGAATACGTAACTAAATGCGTACGTACATACCGTGACTTCAGTAATGCGCTTACGACGAAAACTTTACAAAGTATTACATTCCAAAAATTTTAGTAAAAGCTCTTAACATTGTACACTTTTCTTAACACTGTACGTAATGTAGAGCCAGAAGATACATACATGTTGTCAGAAATAACCAATTAAATAAACTAGCATATATTTTCAGCAATTAAGTGCCAGTTATCAGTTTTTTTTTCCTAAACTGCAGCATAAAAATCCTGTATTTTTAATGATTGTTGAAAATAAACATTTGCACAGAAGATTAAATTGAAATTTTAAAACAAGCGTCAAAGTATGTATTAGTATTGTAAAAATGGTATTCCAAAATGTATCAAAAGGTTTAGCATTTTATTTTTTAATGTAGAGGTATTGAAAGCTATAAACGAAAGAACAACCATATTATTACCGTACTTAAACTTTTTATAAAGTATTATTGAAGTCACGGATACTTATTATAAAACAATGTAAATGTTATTAACTCTTTACAATTTTCTTAAGAAAGTGTTTACTTTTTGAATTATATTATTGAGTTATAACTCACACTTCCAAAAATTAATTTATATACAATATTTATACCACCAAAAGTAAATTAAAATTACCCCTACAGGATGAAGTACCATTTTACAAAAAGCGATGGAGCAGCATTTTGGGAAGGGGTTAAGGGCAAGGGTGGCCGGAACTCCTGTTTTTCTAGGACCATAGAGGCAAAACCCTATAAGAAAAATTTTATGAAAATAAATTGCGTTCACTTCATTTACAGATGAAAATCACGCAAACTTATAATTTTTTATATGAACAGTGCATTATTGAAAAATAACATATTTACCTATTATCGTGCTGTTTTTTCACTCTTCTTTTTGGTGCAGATAATAACACTTGCAAAGTTTAACAGCGTAATTTTAGAAAAGTTTTTATTTAGCAGAATTTAGCAACTTCATTTTAATATGGACACATTCTGTTCATGCATGTTCAGAGCATGCTCACTAGACGTGAAGAGTTACAAGATTTTTTTGTTTTTCTTTTTTTTTTAAATAGAAATTTTTTCCAATGCTCATTTTTAAATAAATACTCATTGATGGTATATGATTATATTTTTGTATTAAGTCAGTCAACGGCTTGTTGATTAGTAATTCTACATATATTTTGTACAAAAAATGAATGGTTTCCATTGCATCTTGCATATGCAATCACGATCAATAAAGCCCAACGCAAACATTTGAAAAAGTCGATATCCATCTTCCTGATTTTTTTTATTGGAAGGAATCACAAATGCTTTCTCCTTTTTTTAATTTTTAGCTTTTTTTGTTTTTGACATTTTTAATGTCTTTATATCTAACAAGTCCCAATGCTCAGAGAGAAACTTGAAAGCACGACTTTATTTTATATGGGTTTTTTTAAATCGAAGTGGCTATTTTTAAATAAATTCACACTTATTATAAAGCAGGTAAAATTAAGAAAATATATTTGAAAAATCAAAAAAATATATTAATATTTTCATTGATAATTATTTTAAAATTATAAAAAAAGCGGAAAAACAACAAGCACAAGAAAGAAAGATTAATAAAAAAAGAAAAAATAAAAAAAAATTTCAAATTCATATTTCAGTATGGTTTCAAATATTAATGAGGAAGGATGTACGATTTTTATGCACATTTTGTATTTCCCAATAAGGTAAGTTGAGTAGTGTCGGCTAACAAAAATGTTATTAAAAGTAATATAGGTTGACACATTTCAACAATTTGAATTATCTCATTTCGGTTATTTATACGTTACTTACAAAATTGTTTCAAATAATTTCAGTTAGTTTTTAAGTTATTAAAAATAAATATCTATGTACCTACTTCCAATAATTTTTTTTTTAAATAATTATTTTAAAACTATTTCAAACATGTTATATCGGGTGCTTCAAAAATTTTGCTGTGCTCTTTTTTCATATTTTATTAGCAGGTAAACAAGAGCAATCTATTTATAAAATGTCCCTGCATGTGGATGTATGACCTATCTTAATTCTAAACGGAAAGAATATTACATAAACAACAAAAATTTTAAAATACCTGTTATTTTACAGTCGGAATTTTTGAGTCATTTGGTAAAATACACATTTATTTCAAAAATAAAAAAATATTCAAATCCGATCATAAAAATATATAATTGTTTTTTCCAAACATTTTAAATATTTTTTTTCTTAGGTAATTGATATAAATGATAGTAAGTTTTTAATATTTTTTCAAATAAAAATAGAGGTAAAATTTTGAAGTTTATATAAAATTTGTATTTAACAAATAATATTTTATTGTATTTTAGATATTATTTTCTAATTCCCTCTTAAAATTTTTTCTTTACTATGTATTTATATCAATATTCAATAATTATCTTTCATTAATTGTATTTTCAACTTGACACCAAAGTTACTTCCCATATCTTGAGTTAACTTACCCTATGAGAAAAAAAAGCTGTTCACTTAAAAATAATGAAATGCTTTCAGTAACATATAAAACGTTGAAGGCGAAGGTTGCGCTTGTTGTTTTTCCGCTATTTTAAGAATTTTAAATTAATTCTGAATGAAAATATTAATATATTTGCTTGATTTTTCAAATATGTTTTTAGAATTTTACCTGCTTTATAATAAGTGTAAATTTATTTTAATATTTCTTCTCAAAAAATAGCCACTTCGATTTAAAAAAACCCATATAAAATAAGGTCGTGCTTTCAAGTTTCTCTCTGAGCATTGGGACTTGTTAGATATAAACACATTAGTTGTCCCCATCGAATCATAAAGTTTGTTTAGTCATTTTTAAATTGAGAGACTAATGCGCAAACAAAGCTTAATTAACTGTTGGAGATTGTGTCAATCACTTGTTGCGATGTGAACACTTCCAAGCATTAAACAACAAAGAGATGTCATTGAACGTCACCTTATGCGACGCTTATTTAGATGTCATTTTATATTTGAATTGTTTTTTCGTTAGAAAACCTTAAAAGTTTAAAGGCCGCGTGAAATCATTTTTATGTTTTTGTTCTTATTGAATTTTAATCATATAATTTATAATTAAAATTAAATAAAAGTCTTTTTATTGTAAAAGTTTCGATATTAACCACTTGATTTTATGAAAATTTTAAACGCTCGCAAAAGATCAGGCGATTTCACTTTTTCAGATTATTTTCTTTTGAGGGTACGTGAAATTTTTTAATTAATATGTCACTCATCCGAAGTCGGCTACCGTTTTACAAAAAAGTATTTTGATGCTGTTCCATATGCAATATTTGAAAAAGTGGGTCCCATTCGGAACCTTTAAATAAAGCACCTTAAAATTTAGTAACGGCGAATATAATTAATTATAAATTAGCGTTAAAATTTGAATTCTGCAGAACTTCAATACTATTATCTGTAAATTCTTTTAAAAGTAGAAATTACGACCCGAAAATTACGTACTTACCAACTTAGAAAATTTTTTTTTATGAGAGTTGAACTAATTTTCGAAACAGGAGCGAATGTACAGGTTATCTACGACTTTTAAATGCATCTAGTGGAATAATATGTATTGTCTTATTCAGTTTATTTTTGCCTAGATTTTAAATTAAAATCTAGGCAAAGGAAATCTAGTCAAATTCGATAAAACACATATTTACACGTACATACCTTGAAATCATCCTGTACTTTTATGTTTATGTCTATTACAGATGCGCCTATGACAATCTGTGGAAATAAAATAGTTATTGATTGTTACTTTTTTATAAAATGTCAAATATTCGCAAATGTTAATCATTATTATATGTACATATATAAATATCAAAAAAAAACTAACGTAAATGGTCGTTTTTCACATTTTTGTTTACCACAAAAGAAACAAAATTTTACCAAAGCCAAATAAAATTCAAAATACATTTACCTTATCATACAAAATTTTTAAAATCATGATTGTGTCGTTTAAAACTTTTGCAAAGACTTCCCTCTTTAATGCTTACGACATTAAAAAAGTGTAAAAAAGATTATAATACTGATGTAATGATAACAATATGAAGATGGTTTTTCAAAATTTGAAAAACAAAAAAAAATGAACTATAACATATGTAGGTATGAAATTTATAGGTTTTCTCTTCAATACTCGTAATTACAGGCATTGTAATTTGCACAATATTCTTTAAATATTTTTATCATTTAATAAATTTTTTTATTTTGTTAATTTTTCATTCTTCATTTTATCTTTATTTTCTGTCATATTTTTTTTTTTTTTTTTTTTCCGAGAGGAAGGGTGAAAAATCTCGAAAGACACTGCCAGACGAAAAGCAGTAGTGTGGAACTTTAATCCACTAAAAAACACCCTCCTCAAAATAAACTATAAAACTTGTCGAAAACGCCTAACCATTAATTTTGCTCTAACCTTTTTGATTATTTACAAGCTTTTGATCTAGCACAATAGCGTACTAAGTACTCATTGTTCCAGATAAAAAACTCTAAACTAACTCGAGAGGTCTCGTACGTTTAATCTCCTAACAAAGTTTTGATTGTCAACCAATCGAGCCGCCTCGATATTGACATGATTGGATAAACGCATTTTATGATTGGCTGCTTGCTTTTTAATTTCGTCTGTGACACTTAGGATCGTGCGATCCCTGTGTATATTGGCATTACGGACATACCAAGGGGCGTTTACAATGTCCGGTAATACTCTATTTTGAAATCTATGTATAGATTGGATATGAGTCTGCGCAGCGCAGCTCCATAACTGAATACCGTAAGCCCAGACAGGCTTAAATATTTGATTATATATCAAAACTTTGTTGTATATTGTCAATTTGGAACGCCTCCTCAAAAGCCATTCGAACTTTCTGTATTCCTCTCTAGTTGAGATCTCTTTTTCTTTATGTGCTCCTTTTATCTGAGCTTCGCGTCCAACGTCATTCCCAAATACTTCGCTGTGTTTGCGGACGGAATCAAGACGCCATTTATTCGAACCGAAAATGAATCGTTAAGTTTTATATTCCACTTTCTTGTCCATTTTGAGATGTCATCACTGGCCCTTTTCAATTTTTGTGTAGATTCATTTTTATTTCGTCCTATTGCGATAACTGCTGTATCGTCAGCAAATGTAGCTGTTGTCACTCCCTGTCACACGTGTATAGCAAGTATAGTATCGGGCCCAATATACTCCCCTGTGGTACCCCCGACTTGATATCCCTAAGCGAAGAGTACTCCTCTTCCTGTTTAGCTCGAAATACCCTATTAGTCAGGTAAGATTCGAGCAAGTCAACATACTGCCTTGGTAGTAATCGCCTAAGTTTTTTTATTAATCCACAATGCCAAACCTTATCGAAGGCTGAGCTACGTCCAAAAATATGATAGAACATATTGTTTTTTCTTCCAGTAAATTTTCTATTAGGTCAGTTATTCTATGAATCTGATCTATGGTTGATAAACCAAATTGATGATTCGTGATTAACCTTTTACTTTCAATTATAGGCTGGAGTCTTCTCAATAAAAGTTTCTCTAGCAGTTTTGAAATCATAGGCAACAATGAGATAGGTCTATAAGAACTCGCCTTGTCTATAGGTTTGCCAGGTTTGTGCAGCATGATTATCTCTGCAACTTTCCAAATTTCAGGCACGTAATTGAACCTTATACACGCATTTATTAGACGCGCAAGCATCGTTATACCCCTTTTGGGTAATTCTTTCAAAATATCGGCCGTTATTAAGTCAAATCCTGGGGCCTTTTTAGGTTTAAGAGTCCTGATTTCTTCTATGATCTCTCTTTCCCTGACAATTGGAATAGTCACGCTATCTTCAACAAAAGCAGATTCCTCATTTTCATACACGCTCCGGCTGTCATGCGGGCAGAATATATAGCCCAAAAGATCCGCAAACGCATTTGCCTTATCCTTGTCAGTTTCTGCCCACGTTCCATCTTTGTTTTTAATAGGAGCGAGATGTTTGATAGGTTGCTTCATTTTCTTTGTCGCCCTCCACAGTGAGTAATTGGTTTTCTCACACGCCGTCAAATTTTGAACATAATCAGCAATCGAATCCTCTTTGTATTTTCTAATACAGCGTCTTAGTTGCTGCGATTCATGATTATATCTGGTTTTATCAGCAGGATCACGCGTCTGCTGCCACCTTTTTCTCGCCCGCCTGCTTCGTTTTACTTTTGCTAGTATATGTGGGGGATAGTTAATGCACCCCCTCCTAATAACGTTAATTTTGGAACTACTCCAAGCCGCATTTTGAATAATTTTAGTAAATTTTTCGGCCTCCTCATCTATGTGCTGGGTCGTTCTTATTCTTTTCCTTAGATCTATTTGACGTTCAATCTCTAAGCGAAATCTTGACCAATCTGTAGTTCCATTTGTCAGCGCAGGATTCGCTCTTTTCATAACTATATTTTCCTTAATTGCAAGAATAACCACCAAATGATCGGAGTCAAGATCGTAGTTATCAATTACCTCGATGAAATTTTTCGCAATCCGTTTCGTTATGAAGAAATCTATTAAATCTGGACACTTATTAACATAGGTTGGCCAATACGTTGGCTTCGCAGTAGAATGAAAAAGGCACCCCGTGCCGCCAATTGCTGTCCTAAGTTCTCTTCCTCTAGTTGAAGTATGCCTTGAACCCCAATCAGTGTGCTTGGCGTTAAAGTCACCCCCCAATATAAATCTATCGCCCAGGTCTGTCAGAACGCATTGAAACATTTCTGCCGTAATTTTAAATCTAGGGTGACAATATAATGCAGCCACTCTAAATTTCTGCTTAGTCGAAGTGATCTGAACCGCTGTCATTTGCATTCCCTCGGTTTGCATCTGGTGCAGATCGCAATGCACCACATTTTCTTTTATTATTATCGCCGTTCCGCCCTTCGCTATATTTCCAGGATGGTTCGAGTTGTAAATTCTATAACCTGGAAACCGAATCCTGCTTCTTAAAGTCATATGTTTTTTAGTTACGAGGCACACGTCTATATTCTTTGTATGCAGAAAAACTTCAAGCATGTCCTTTTTATTTGCAATACCATTGCAATTCCATGTTGCTATTTTAAAATTACCTTGTGCCATCATTTACCAGGTCTTTTGGTATTCGATTTTTTCCCTTCGCTCTCTAAAATACTCAATCTCTGAAAGATTTTGTCCATCATATCTAGCATGTTCTGCATCATATTTTGCATTTTATACAAAACATTCACGTCACTGGCCCTTGTTTTATTGCTCGTGCCACCGTCATCAGTTTTCATTTGGAGAACGTCCCTGTATGTTACATCTTTTGAGACTATTCTCAAGTTGAATTTCCTCGATGGCCGTTCAGAATTCTTCAGGTTGTTGTTGCTGTTCAAATTTCTACGTTTTTGCAGTTCCTTAATTTTCTGTCATATGCTTAAGCGAAAAAAATTGTTTATGGGTTGTCAATAAACTGACAAGCTGAAATATTTTAGAATACTAAAAAAATTATACATTGAATCAGTGATGCCAGACTCGCTTATGTAAACGTTCAGTTGAATTCGACAATTAAACGACATGTTATGTATTAAACTTTAACTTTGACATAGCTAGTAACAACTTTTTTCGCTTGATTATTCCAAAGAAGAAATATTAAGAATATAATGACATTCAACGACATCTTCACTTCACGTCAGCACGAAATATTTGGAATGAAAAAAAAGAACAGAAATAAAAATTTCAAATTTCGCTGTTTTTTAAATTAATGTCTATACATACGAAAATAATGTTATGGCATTCATAAAATTCAAAATTTATTAATACTCGACAAGAATTGATTTTTATTAGACAATCTAATGTCTTTACATCTAACAAGTGCCAATACTCAATTTTTTTTACGAAATATTACGAATTTTTGGCTTCGTTCCTGTTTTTTCCTGACCGTGTCGTATTTCTTAATATTTTTTTCTTTTTTTTACGTAGTCTTGTTAGATATAAAGAAATTAAATTTTAACAAGTCTTGTTAGATATGAAGAAATCGTCTTCAACGTTTTATATGTTACTGAAAGCATTTCGTTGTTTTTAAGTGAACAGCTTTTTTTCTAATAGGGTAAGCTAACTCAAGATATGGGAAGTAACTGTAGTGTCAAGTTGAAAATATAATTAATGAAAGATAATTATTAAATATTGATATGAATACATAATAAAGAAAAAATTTGAAGAGGGAATTGGAAAATAATATCTAAAATACAATCAAATATTATTTTTCCAATACAAATTTTATATATACTTCTAAATTTTACCTCTATTTTAATTTCAGAAAAATTTTTAAAACTTAATATATTACCTAAGGAATATTTAAAAGGTTTGGAAAAAACAATAATATATTTTTATGACCGGATTCGAATATCTTTTTATTGTTGAAATAAATAGTATCTTAGCAAATCAATCAAAAACTCCGATTGCAAAATGACAGGTAGTAGGTACTGATTTAAATTTTTGTCCGTTTGCATTTACTATTAAGATTCATACACAGATTCATACAAATGAGATAATTCAAATTATTGAAATGTGCCAACCTTACTTTTATTAACATTTTTGTTAATAAAAGTAAGGTTGGCAAATTAAATTTTTCTCAAAAACAAAGCCAATATTTTTGTAGTAAAATGTTTAAAAATTCTGCAACAAAAAAATTTGTCTAAGTGAAATAAGAGTTTTAAATGTATTTTATGTAATATTTTATAGGAATTTTCATTTCCACTTTTATTGT